GGCTGATGGTCCCCCGCTGCCCGCAGCCTCTGTCGCAGAGATGCTAAAAGTTCATCATGATGCCACTTTTACCTTTTTTTGGTTGCCCTCCTTTTAGAAATGGAAATGTAATTAAAAGAAAGGCAAGCGCTCATCCCCCTGCTGCTCCACAGACACTATCCTGAAAGTTTAATCTAATAGGTAAAAAAGCAAATAAAGAAGAGGCTCCGTTCCTAACAAGCTGTCTCAAATCAGTATTTTTTAAATGCAGCCAGTGATAGCCAAAGGGAAGGAGATTCTACATTTCACTAGCTTTTCCCAACTGCACAGCTGGTGCTGTATTATACTAATGTGATTACTAGAAAGAGGAAAGCACGTTAACATTCCAGTTTTAAGAAAAACTGCTTAAAAAAGAAATTTGCACCCTAAATTCATGCCAGCCTCTTTGTTTACAAAGTCAGAGCTGACTTGTTCTCTGCCCTCGCGCCTGCAGGGAAGGGAGCAGGGCTGGGCTGTGGGGCAGGACCTGCTTCCAGGCGGAAATATTCAGTGAAAAGTTGTGTCTAAATATTGATATTTCGACAGAACTCATTATTTGCTTAACTGGATGTTATATATTTGCCTAGAGAATCACACTGGGGAAGCAAAAGCACATTTTTAGGCCCTTTTAGCAACAGCGGATGACTTGGAAACAGTGATGAGCAAATCCTGAATTTTTCAAAGCCATTTCATTTGGGGCTCAGATTTCCTGATAACTTGTTAGGATCTGGGTTTGCGAGACAGGTGTTTGGCATTTCTAACTCCCTGCTCCCTTTAGGAGACATCAAACCAAGCATTGAACTCCTACAGTCTTGAAAGTTCAAGTCAAGGTGGTTTTTGTTTTGCTTTTCCCCCTGAAGGTCAGTTCAGGATTGAATCCTTTTGTCAAGGCTGGCTGGAGAGCAGAAGGCTCTGTTAATCTGCAGGCACCGCGGCTCCCTCCTGTCTTCCTTCCCCTGCAGTTTGTTTTACTTCAGGATTCACCCCCTGGGATTGTAAAGGCTGCAGACGAGGGTTAGAGGTGAAACAAAGAAAACGAGGTTGGTTGTTTATTTAGAGGGAGCCAGAATTCATAATGTTGGAGACACTGGGCCCCTCCCAAGAGATAACCGTAATTTTACAGCACCTCTCCACAACTTTTTTTTTCCAGAAATAAAATACAGTGACAGATCCAAAAGACCATTTACCCTAGTAACTCCCAGAATCAAAACAAGAAAGAGATTTTTCCTGCAAAGTGACCAGCCACTGGAATAAAACAAACGTGCTTCCATTGATCTCCACGTGGGAAAGCATCTGAAAAAAGAAATAAAGACAGCTTTGCCTCCTTCAGAGACCTTCTTCTTTCATTCACTCAACTTGTGCCTTATTATGGAGGTCTCTTTTTGACCATCAATCTTTTTTCCTTGGGAGATAATCTTTTTATCCCCCTTCTTTTCAATGAGAAGGCCAAATTTTTCTTTCATGTATTCCCTGCGGAACCCCACTGACCAGTAGCTAACAGGCACATCCCGGCCCACACGGGCAGCCTGGCAATGTATTTTCCCTGTTCATGCGTTGCTTTAACGATCACAACAGTAGCAAGGGAAGGTGCAGATGCATCCATTAAACTTTCCCCAGGCTTTTCTAGGTGTTTGCCCTCCAGGGCAGCATCCACTTGCAATGAGATCGCTGGATTTACAACAGAGCAAGTGGTTGTACAACAACAACTGGATTCCAGGGTCCTGATAAGAGAAGGTAAGCTGCCCTGCGACCAGAGCCTGGCCAGTCACCCGACCGCTAATCCGGGGTGAATCTGCTGGCGTCAGTGGCTTTACGCTAAACACACACTGGGGTGAAAAATGAGAGTCGCAGCTCAGCTCAGGCAGCCCAGCTCCAGCACTCTGCTACCAGAAGTGGCTGCTTACTTTCAAGCTCTCCACACAGCCTGTAATCACCCAATATTGAAACCAGATTTACAAGCTCTTCAGAGGAGGAGAAGTTTGTGATTTCCAAAGCAGACGCATTTGGTATTTCAGAAAAAGGTCAAGCCCCCTGTGGAGTAAGGGGGTTTTAATA